GAGTGAGACTCGGCGAGTTGGGCGGCCCAACTCGGCGAGTCAGCCCCAAAAGTAAGTTGACTTTGACCAAGGGTAAAAGAGTCATTTTACCCCAAGTGCAGTGTTTAGTATTTGATTGAGTGTGTTCATGGACTTGTAGCCGAGGAGATTCAGGAGCAGCAGCCGTTAGCTTTCAGAGACACACACTCAGCCGCCAGTTTACGAGGTGAGTTTCCTTCCAGTAGGGACGGGTCTAAGGCCACAATGTCGGCCCGTCCAGTTAGCAATAGTTTCCGAACTTGATCCGATGCAGTAGTTAGTATGTTTGATGCCTTCGTGGCTCAGACAGGATTTGTGAGCTATGTTTTATGTGTTATGTATTATGTGTTCCGGGCTACGGCCCGATGTAGTATGCAGTATAGGTGTTCATGCTAGTTGTTATGATATGCTATGCTATGCTCAGTTCCGGACTTCGGTCCGATGCAGTCAGTTCCGGACTTCGGTCCGATGCAGCCAGTTCCGGACTTCGGTCCGATGTAGTTAGTTCCGACTTTGGTCCGATGCAGGGGACAAGGTCCCAGTCAGTTCCGGACTTCGGTCCGATGCAGTTAGTTCCTGACCTTGGTCCGATGCAGGGGACAAGGTCCCAGTCAGTTCCGGACTTCGGTCCGATGCAGTTCCGGGCTTCGTCCCGATGCAGTGGGCAAGGCCCGATATGTTTTTATATGATATTGTTATTGTATGGTATGTGGTATTTTGGGGGAGCTCACTAAGCTTTGTGCTTACAGTTTCAGTTTTGGTTTCAGGTACTTCCGCAAGCAAAGGGAAGAGCTCGGGATGACGGCATCGCACACACCACCGCCTCAGCTTTAGCCTGGGATTGATTTAGTTGTTTGATTTGATGTAGCATGATACAGTTTTCCGCTCAGTATTTTATTATGTTTTGGAATACATCACGCATGGTTTTATTATATGATACTCTGATTACAGTTTTGATTATATTAAAAACAAAAATTTTTGGGTCGTATTTTTGGGTCGTTTCAAAGAATATGCACCAACAATTACTTTTGACCACTAAAGTTGAACTTAAAGGAGTAATCATAAGGATAAAAGAATATTCAGACTCCTTTATCAAATTTGGTGTTGACAATTGAGAATTTATTATTTCAATTGAGCCCTTATCATCATCTAATGAAATTCCATGGTTTGATAAAACAACTACAACAATATAAAGATTAGGTGATGGCATACTAGACATGAAAATATATCAGCACTCAGAGATGTTAGGTTATGAGAGGGCCTGATTGTCTTTTTCCTTATCAAGTGTGGTCTAGAGTAACTAGTGGTAGCGTTGGCTCCAGCTCCACAAAGAATAAAATATGACCAGCTCATAATTCTAAATTATAAAGATTACCAACTAATTAACTATTTTAATATAAAAATTTAATATCATAATGATATTAAATTCAATGATATGTAATCAAACTAAAGTGAAGTGAAAGTTATTCAAATTTTCAACCATATAATTAATAAAATGCCTTCTATATAGATGACAAAAAATCACCAACTTATCAACTAGTATTATATCATATCATATCATATCATACTATAGTATAAAGGAAACATTTTTCCTTTCACCACATTCATTTGAAACTCCCATGACTTTTCAATTTCTTTCTAATAATAATAATTATAAGTTGGTTAATAAGGTTAAATAAATGTCAAGCCTAAAGTGTAATCATATATAAACTAAATTTCAATTTTAAAATAATATATTTACTTCTACTTATAAACTTATGTTTTTTTTAACTTTTAACATATTATACTTAATTTATTAGTTTTAATATATTGTTGAATGTAAACCATTATCATTTTAAAGATATAATTTTGAAACAATTTGTATAAAATACTTAAATTATTAATTTAAATATAACATTACAGGGTCAACTTAAATATAAATTTTAGTATAACTTAAACAACCCAAAAAATATTTTGTAAATAGTTAAAAGTGATAAATTGTAGTGTCTTTTCAATAATGATTATAAGTTGGTTAATAAGATTAAATAAATATCAAACCTAAAATGTAATCATAAATAAACAAAATTTCAATTTTAAAATAGTATATTTACTTCTACTTATAAAGTTATGTCTTTAACTTTTAACATATTAAACTTAATTTATTAGATTTAAAATGTTGTTGTATGTAAACCATTATCAGTTTAAAGCTACAACTTTTGAACAGTTTGGACAAAATACTTAAATTGTTAATTTAAATATAATATTACAGTGTCAACTTATATATAAATTTCAGTTTCACTTAAAAAACCAAAGAATATATTGTAAATAGTTAAAAATAATAAATTATAGTGATAATGCAAAAACTAAATTGTAATCTCAATTTAACTAAAATATTTCCTAAAGATATTTTTTCAATCGTTAAAAGTTTTTAAATAAGTAGCTTAAAATAATTTATAATAACAAAACTAAAAATAACTTTATATAAATGATTATATTGTTGCCTTTAAAATCAAAAAACAATGTTTGATATTTTAAATAATTATAATGATAGAAACTAAACCATTAAAAAAAATTTTAAATTAATTAACAATAACAACAACTATAAATAACGTTAAACCATATATTATATTTAATTTTATTCATGTGTAACTTACGTGTAGAAGTCATTCAAACGATTGAGATTATTTAATAGATGTATATATTATCATATTATTAAAAAAAAAATCAATATGTTATATCAATTTAGTATACGAATTATTAAATCAAATTTAATAAAAACTTTATTGTTATATTTAAAGAAAACATATATTTGTAAAAAACTTCAACTATATATGTGTTTCTGCGCAACGCGCGGACATTCGCCTAGTTTAATATAAAAAAATTTAAAATATAATCGGACTAAAGTGAAGTGGAAGTTATTCAAAATTCCAACCATATAACTAATAAAATGCAGATGAACAGATCCAAAACGAAGCAATTACCATGCAACCAAAAAATAATGAGACCTTTAAAATTAAAATATAGCTAAGAGCAACTGGGATCTAAAAGGAGGTGTTTATCATGGTTAAATAAAAGTTACATTTTAGACATTTATAACTTCATCAACAAAGAGAACGGCCTTAATAAAGAAGAGCGGAGCTTACTTGAATCTAGGGGTGAGCAAACCCAAACCAAAAAACCGAGAAACCGACTAAAACCGACAAAACCGAAACCGAAAAAACCGAAACCGAAGCAAAACCGACGGTTTGGGTTTGATATTTTTAGAAACCGAAAAATCGGGTTCGGGTTCGGTTTCTAACCAGAAACCGACCCATCCAACCCAAGAAACCGACCCATACTTAAAACCGAAAAACCGCCCCAAGAAACCGACCCATCCAACCCGAGAAACCACCCATACTTGATTGTGTTTTAGTTGTAATAGACTATTTCGGGCTTTAGTTGTAACTTGTAATTGACTATTTGTGTAAGACTCATGTTTTTTGAAGTACTTAACTTAAATTTGTTATTTTTTGAAGTATCTAACTTGTTGCTTCATTTATGGAAAATGGGTTAAAACCTTAAACCCATGGGTTTAAACCCAGAACCCGTGAGTGTATGGGTTGAAGCCAAGAAACCGAAAAACCGCCCAAACCGACCTCAGAACCCAAGAAACCGAACCGACCAAAAACCGATCCTATTGGGTTCTAAAAACCAGAAACCGACCATTTATGGGTTGGGTTGGGTTTGAGTCCAAAACCGACCCAAACCGACCCATGCACACCCCTACTTGAATCTAATGATTCAAAACGCATCACCAATTCACCATCCATGGCCTTCCCCGCTAAGTCTACAACGTAATGCATCAAGTCATATCCCATAAAGTCCATTAAGTCAATATCAAAAAGCACTGAATGGAGTTGTATAAGGTTCAACTACAGCATCTTTAGGGCCAGGAGGATTTTTTTCATACAAGTAGTCATAGCCCAATAAATTTTACACAAATTAGGCCCAAAAATAAAAAGCACCGAATGGAGTATGGAGTTGTATAAGGTTCAACTCTGAACCAAAGTCAGCGACCCTCTAATCCTCGCTCAGTCACTTCATCCTTCGCTGTTCGCTGGAGCACCTGTCCACCTCGGCACCTCCCAATCGGCAATCTGCAATCACCGCTGGCAGCTCCATCTCTCACCTCCGCGCTGATCAGGTAGGTATGTTCAGTGTTCTCTCTATTTCTCTCTGCTCTATTCTCCATCGGACCATCATCCCCATTCCAGCTGCCCCTGATTAAGTTTAACTGATTTTTTATCTTCAATTCTTCATAGTGAATTTCCAATTTTACTTGCTTCAAATTACTGATTTTTATCTTCAATTCTTCATAATGAATATGACTGTCAAATTACTGATTACCCAAAAATAAACCCAACAACTTGAAACACCAAACCCAGAACTTGTACACAAATCAAGCAAGATGCAATCTTTTAAACATGTACGCAAAAACTTTAAAACCACATGTACAGTACGAGCAGCTAGAGAGAGAAAAGAAAAGAATGAATAGAGAAGAGAGTGTGAGTGCGAGTGCGAGATGGCAGAAAAAGGAAACCAAGTATAATTTAGGATTGGCGGTTTCAGAAGAAGAAAAAGAGGGTTTTGATGAGAGTTGATGGTATCCTTTCACCCTTTGGGTGGTGAAAACTGAAAAGTAGTAAGCCGATAGGGCATCGGGGAACTCAGGGCTAGTGAGATATGGCAAATTGCAGCATACTCTTGGCTTTCATATTGACTGGTCTCCGTTTTTTTTTTTACCAAATACTCTCCTATTTTCTGCATTCCATATAAATAAATTGATAAAGTTTTTGAGTTGGCAAAAATGGAAGCTTAGATGACTTATGACTTTCTCGCCTGATGGTTTAAATAGATAGAGAACTTATGGTGGTAGAATTACTGAAAACATTGATTGTAATTCTTGTTGTAGGTATTTTTGGTGATTCCATTATTGTTTTTAAACGTCAAAATCTAGTAAAAAAATGGAGAATTTGGGACGATTTGATGTGATTGTGATCGGAGCCGGCGTGATGGGGAGTTCAGCGGCATATCAAGCAGCTAAACGTGGTCAAAAAACTCTACTCCTCGAGCAATTCGACTTCCTACACTACCGTGGATCATCTCACGGCGAATCTCGAACAATCCGAGCAACTTACCCGGAATCTTACTATTCTCCAATGGTTGTTGAATCGGAGAAGTTGTGGAGAGAAGCAGAATCAGAAATCGGCTATAAAGTTTACTTCAAAACACGACAACTGGATTTAGGTCCGGTGGACAATAGTTCTCTCTGCGCTCTCATTGCCAATTGCAAAAAACACACGCTTAATCACCAAATTCTCGATCGTCATCGAGTGAAGGAACATTTCACCCGTAAGATTGAGTTTCCGGAAGATTGGATTGCGGTTGTGACGGAGCTCGGGGGTGTCCTGAAACCTACTAAAGCAGTTGCAATGTTTCAAACACTCGCAATCAAACATGGTGCAGTGCTTAAAGACAAGACGGAGATTGTCGATTTGGTGAGTGATAAGCATAACGGTGGCGTTCTGGTGAGTAGCAGATCGGGAGAACAGTTTTGGGGGAGGAAATGTGTGGTCACGGCGGGAGCTTGGGTGAGTAAGTTGATTCAAAAGGTAAGTAATGGTAGCATGGTTTTGCCGATACAGCCAGTGGAAACAGCTGTGTTTTATTGGAAGATCAAAGAGGGTCATGAACTTGATTACACCATAGAAGCAGGATTTCCATCATTTGCAAGCTATGGCGAGCCTTATATCTATGGAACACCGGCTTTGGAGTTCCCTGATCTGATCAAAGTTGCTGTTCATGGTGGGCGGGAATGTGATCCAGATAAGAGGACATGGTGGGCTGCTACAGGGTCAGAAGGGGCAACAATGGTTATCGGACATCTTAAAGAATGGATCAAATTAAGGTTTGGTGATGGAGTTAATTGGGAAGATGGGCCAGTGATTACTCAATCTTGCTTGTATTCCATGACACCAGATGAGGATTATATTATTGATTTTTTAGGAGGAGGGTTCAATGAGGATGTGGTGGTTGCCGGTGGTTTCTCTGGCCATGGATTCAAGATGGCTCCATTAGTTGGGAGGATACTGACGGATCTGGCCATTGGCGGGAAGGCGGCAGCAGAACAACTTGATGAAGACATCAAGCATTTTAAGCTTGGAAGATTTGAAGGCAACCCCAGAGGTAATGTGAAAGAGTTTGAAGACCAGGTTCGCCTTGCCTTAGGTAGGCAGTCTTAGAGGGTGTTGGTTATTGCTTATTTGAACCGCTTATTAGCGTTGGGATACATATATGCACAAAACCACAACCAATTATATATATATATATATATATATATATATATATATATATATATATATATATATATATATATATATATGTATATACATAAAAACCCTTTTTTTATGTTCAGAAAAACCATTATATTATTATTATTTATGTTTTAAATAAAACCAAATTGTAAACTTTTAAAAGAAATGACCGGTTAAAAATATGATATGACATACATACCCCTTATATTTCCTTGATTGTATGTGAAAACATATCCAAACCTACATTTATTTCGATTACTTTTGCTCTATTGTGTTCTCCATATGGAATTATAAGATTGATTTTCCCTCCGTAAAAATTGTTTTTTATCATGATTAACATCAAATATCATATTAAAAAACAAAAATGTAATCATCATATTTGTAGTCGTCAAATTCTCTTAAAACCCCATATTTTGGTCTTTTTCGACTGTTATCTATTAATATAAGGCCTTTTCTGAACATAAATATAATATAAAGGTTTTTCTGCATATCATGTATAATTAGTTGTGCTTTTTTGCATATAGCCCGTTCCGGTTTGGCATCGGTAATAAGCTCTTTTTAGTGTTTGGACTGTAAAAAATAAAACTGTTTATTCCAGTATGGTACCGGTAATAAGCAATTTTTCATAAGTTGTTTTATTTTAACTTATTGGAATATGCTTATTACGGGTTAAACTCAAATTACATTTTTACCCCTAATTTAAAAAAAAATAATAATAATATATAAATGTCTTTTTCGGTAATTTCATACGTATAAGCAGAAATTATCAAACACTAAAAAACAACTTATTAAACTTATCAGCTTATTGAGTTTTGATATTGGATAAGCCAATCCAAACAATTTTTTTATAAACTCCGGGATAAGCTAATAAGCACTTTTGAAAATAAACATAAGTTGTTTTAAATAAACAATCCCAAACACCCCTTAATTATCAAGTTTCTGCACAAAAAATAGCGTCTTTTTAAAATTCATAAATAAATTGAAAATTTTGAACAAATATACATGGTGCATGATGTTGGTATTTACTATTTAGTAAGCGGGATCTCACACATTTAAATCCACATCCATATGGTCTCCTAACATATTTGTTGACATTATATTACAATGCTAGTAGAATTGTGGGTTGCGAGCAAATAGTTTTGTTAGTTTTTGCTATAATTCACCTATCATTTCTCAATTTCGACAGTCTTGTCTTGTCAATAACCTACTTGTGTGAACTCGTAAAATAACAATAGTAAAAAATTAGCCTAATCATCAAAATAGCCACCAAATGCATAGATGTCATTGCAAAATTGGCACAGTAAAGACCACCTACAAAACAACTATCGTTCTGAAAGGAAAAAAAAAAAAAAAAAAAAAAAAAAAAGCAAATGCCAGCTACGAAACCATAGAAAAGACCAATTCTTCAAGAAAAGAAAACTCAATATTGTAATGAAAATGGTCTCTCTCTCTCTCTCTCTCTCTCTCTCTCTATATATATATATATATATATATATATATATATATATATATATATTGTAGATGACATCCATGAAATTTAGAGAATATTGACACAATAAATTTCACTGTGGAAGATGACATCCACGAAATGTGGAAGATGACATTATATTACTGACTTTTTTTTACTTTTTTTTACTGTTTCTTGAATGATGGCTTATTAGTTATTTTCTCTTGATATAAAAGACAAGTATGTGTGGTCACTAAGGTCCCACCTAAAGGATTTGTAAGTTGTAACCCAGATGTGGATGAATTGTTAAGTCCCTGTTTAGATACCATGGTGCAAATCCGTAACAGATGTGACGTAAACCTTTGTTTCCCAATTCAAATATGTACATGAAACTTATTCCCATGTATATTGACTAAAAGCAAGAATACTTTTGACAATTTTTTTGCTTAAGTCGATACCAGAGAGAAACAAGTGATAAAATGGTAGAAATATAGGAGGCTTTGAGCTTCCTTACAGGTCGACCATTTAAATAAATGCCCCCTGAACATAAAACAAAGCACAAAGAAATATAGGGGCACTACTTGATCCCTCCAAGTTTCAGCTTGAACACATAGCACCTGAGATGAGAAACAAACCAACATCAAGGTGAAAAGAAGCAACAATTATATTTCAAATTTGAACCCAAGACATCTCCATAATGTACACCCAAGACCAAGTTCTAACTTTAGCCTGATTCCAAATAACTAACAACCAACGATTAAAAAAAACATCACCAACATTTGGCTTAAACATGGAACCACAACATCTTGATAGCCCTCAAAGAACAAAACAGCAAAAAATCCAAAGATGACAGGATGTTGCAGACATCAAGAAATGTCAGTAGCTTTGGAGCCATCCTCAATATTGAAATATGTTCATGTACACTCTTGCATTATGCATCTTCTTCTTTTAGAATGGAAATGTTCTGTGCATTGTTTAATCAGCAATAGGGTCTTGCTTGATGATTGTTGTACAACTGTGATTCAAATGAAAATTTGGTCTCTTGTAGGTTAAAAGGAGTTCTAATGAGAGTATTTGACAAGGGTCATCGAGGTCTCCAAAAGTTAGGACCTGCAATAAAAAAAGACAAGTTTAGCATTTGTTTAAAACAAAATAAAATTCAACAAAGGGTAAGAACCTCTAGTTGCCATGGGAACTGGTGCTTCAGGGTATGGTCTATGATTTGCAGGTCGGACGGGATAATGCCAGGTGTTGGACATTGGTGGATCGCAAGGTGGACCCGCATACATATTTGGGGGATAATGTACTCCTCTAGGCCCATCAGGATGACATGGACCTGTTTGTTAACAAAAAATGATTAACTGTTAATGAGACTGGAACTGGATGGATGAACATGAAATGTGAAAAGAATAACTGAAGTATAAATCATGATGATCTTTACCAGAGAATGGAGGGGGTGGAAACCTCCAGCTGTCATCATGCACATGCTGCATTCTGTCATGATCGCTATGAAAGTTACCAGTATCTGTACCATTGACAAAATGAAACCTGCCAGGGTAGGAAGGAGGTGGAATCGACTGATCTGATTGGAAATATGAAAACTGCGATGACGGAGCAGGGTGAGGTGGCCTCAGATGCACATTATTATTGGTGGCTTGGACAGGTAAATTGCTGAAAGAAGAATTAGACGACTCTGGTGGTTGCATATCCATTCTGCCTTCAGGAGGATGAAAATGAACTGGCTGAGCAATCGACTGTTGTGGATCATCATTACCATTCTGCATTACATGTGTCAAATACCTAACTAAAGTACAAAGCAATTTGTAAAAAACAAGTTTCAAACTCACCTGATTAGCTACATAAACGTCCGGCAATGGAGGAGGGGGAGGCGGAGGTAAAGTCGCTAGAGGAAGAGGAGGAGGAGGAGGAGGCGGTGGAGGCAGAGGAAGGGTGGGTGGTGGAGGTGGAGGTGGTGGAGGTGGCGGAAGGGAGGCTGGAGGGGGTGGAGGAGGAGAATTCGGCAGAGGTGGAGATGATGGAGGCAAGTCTCTGGGGAGTGGAGGGGCAAACAAGGGCAAATGGGGTGTAAGTTGATGATGTGGATGAGATGGTTCCTGAAAGGTGATATTATTAGCAGTAGGGGCAGTTATGTCAGACTCACGAGAAGGGGCCACATCCTCCATTTCAAGCTCACCATCAACATCCTCCAACACATGGGTATGCTTATCTGTGACCCCCACCCCATCATGCTCTTCAGATGTTTCATGGTTATGTTCAGGAGTAACAGCCTCAAAACCCTCCCCATCTGAATCGCTTCCTTCTTTTTCATCTTTCAGCATTGTTGGGATATCAAAACCAGATAGCTGTATGCTCGAATTACTAACCAAAAGGAAATATTTCAGATTCTTACTTTACCAAAAAAAAAAGAAAAAGGATAGAAATTATTTAAAACAAAATCACACCTTCCGTACTCATCTACAAGCATACCCTCAACTTCCCTAATTGGGTCATCAAACGCCCTTTCATTCCTAAAGGGCCTGCGAGAAGAATTACTGATTCTAGAAGACATGTTGTTGAGGGAATCAAGCTCACGAATATGGTGACGAATCATCGGTTCTGGAAGAATCTTTCTTTCTTGCCACAGCTTCAGAACCTACCAAATAATGAACATATTTTAATTCTAGTAACTCTTGCACACACGGTTTAGAGCAAACATATATATATATATATATATATATATATATATATATATATATATATATATAAAGACAAGACATACATACCTTTAAGCATTGCCTACGGTTTTCAAGAGCACTATTCCCTGGAGGAGCAGCAGCCAACAACAACCGTGGTAACACTGCTTGGATCGCAGAAGGATACAGACCACCCACATCACCTGAAACACAATCAAGTTGCATCATTGATTCAAAAACACACAATAAATCTTATATTAACTAACGAGTGTGATTAAAAAACACACCTCTAAGCCCCCGAGAACATTGTGCAATAGAGTCCACAAGGAAGAACAAGTCCACCCTTTTGTGTAAACTTGGTTCAGCTTCCAAACTGCGTGCAATAGTCTCCACCACCTACATTCCATATATTATATAAATAATATACATGGTAAGAAAGTTATAAAGAGATAGCTAAATGACTAGTAAAATTACCTTGACAGCTATGCCGAATTTTGCACAGTCGATAGCAATGCGTGTGGCTCGGTCAATGCTTTTCTTTGTCCGTGTTAGTGCCCCAATACTGGCTTCAAAGGAAGTGAGAGCAGCATTTGCTTCGGACATAGTGCTCCATTTGCCGGTTTGCTTTTGTTGTTTATCATTGTATAAATGCACAGCTGCAGGACTAGAACAGCCACTGTTTTCAAGGAAATTACTATTATCTGAAGTGGATATGTTGTTGCAAATTGAAGTAGTAGTAGTAGTAGTATTGGGTGGAGAGGCTCGTGCAGTTGAGTCAAACGCATCATCATTCGGATGAGGAGGAGGAGGAGGAGGAGAAGATGTCAGGGTACCTGACACGTTTTTATCGCTCAAGCTATCTTCATTGTTAACAGAGTTTGAATGGGAGAGTTCGAGTGCGGGACCCGTCTGGTCAACTGTCTTCAAAGCTTCTTTCTCGGTGGTCAAAGATGGAGATTCATCTACTTCCATGTTTGATTCTTTAACTCCTTCCCCATCTTCCAGTCTAAAACAAAACATCATTTCAACTATCAAGTTAATAAAAATTTAAAAAATTTAAAAAAAAAACTATATCCATCACAACAGAAAACAGCCAACATAGCCTACTTACATTGCATTATCATCTTCTTCAAATGGATGTTCTTGTTCTACCATATTGCAGCTTTTCTGGGGAGACACAGGCAGCACCAAATTAACATGTGAAACCACCCCGTTTTCGAGATTGCTTGATAATAGAGGATCTGAACTCACCCCAGAAACATCTGATGGGTCTTTCTTGCTAGGTTCAGTCATCTCCAAAGTTACCATCTCACATTCATTTTTAGACTCAACTAGGGTATCATTGCATTCAGAAACAGATTCTCTCTTCTCAATAGCATCTGACAAAGGTTCTGGGCTTTTCACGACATCAGTTGATTCAACGGTTTCAGTACAAGAAGTCAACACGACAGAATCTTTACAATCAGCAATTTCCACTGGCTTTTCGTCTTTCAAAATCCCATTTGCTGGGCTAGAAGGTTGACTACAGGTGTTGTTGACCTCATCAATCGACTTATTCTGTTCAACATCTGGAGCTAAATTGGTACAAGCCTGAGAATCACCATTGCTGAGAGGTTTCTCCTTTTCTACTTCACACTCATCTGTTTCTTTCGAGCAGTCTCTAGGTGAAAGAGATCCATTAATAATGGTTTTCATGGTAGAAGGTCCTCCATTAGAAACTTGCTCATCTTCAGCAACATTAGCAGACATAGCTTCAAGAGCACGATGAAGTCGCTTAGAAGGAGGTAAAGCAGCTTCACCATCAGCCAGGCAACCAAAATGCTTATTCTTGTTAGCTTCCCATAGTGGAGGCTTGCTATTGCTATTGCTATTGCTAACACTACAATTATTCAATGCAAAAGATTGCTCTACTTCTTCCCTACCACCCGAAGAGTTCCCTTCTGCAGATATATCTTCTGCATCACTTGAAACCACACAGTTATTTGCAGGTTCTGAAAGTTTATCTATTTTGATTGCAGTTTCAACCTCTTCTGTATTAGATAATGTTCGACCCATACGGACCCTTGCCCTTTTCACTAGTGGCAAATGTTCATCACCATCTTCCTTGGAATACTTCACAGCAGATTTTTCAGAATCAATGGCAGAGCCCGATTGCTTGTCAATTCTATCAGGGAACTCGGTTGTAACGGTGATGGCCCGTTTTCTACTGGGCTTTCTTTTCTTCTTGACAATGACAGAATTAGTCTGGAATTCAAGCGTCTGACTCAACTGCAAGTCTTCCATGACATGATCCTCCTGTTCCATAAGCTTATAACCAGACTGTACACAGTTTCCCTCGTTAAAACTCTTGGTGTCAGAATCAGCAGTGACAATTTCAGAACCATTTTCTTCGGGGCTTGCATTTGATACAAGAGGTAAATCTTTATCCGGTGAACCAGGTGATGTCCTCACCCTTTTCGTCCTCCTTTGTGGTATGCTGGATAAATTACCATTACTCATCACCACATCTTCTGTGAGGTTTGGAAATCTGCAAGCATCTGTTCTTGCAGACCTCCGTGCAGATGGCACCCTTCCATGAATCCCTGAGGTCTGAGTACCAGAATATTTCTTTCTTGAGTATGTGGTGGGCACAGGTGCTTTTGTGGCCTCCGAATTACCAGTAGCCTCAGACACTTTGACCTCTGTGTGATGAACATTAGCAGCATCACCCTCACACGTAGTGCCATTAGGTTTTGAAGAATCTGCTACTCTTGTGTTTGAATCAATGGTAGGTGTGAGAGCCTCATTCTTAGAATTAGCAACACATTCTTCTGATTTGACAACATTTGTTGGACCGGTTGTATTAACATCATCAACTTGGACCTGTTTTTTGAGCTCCTCGTAGCTATCGATTATCTCTCTTACAGCACGAACAAAATCAGCACCTTTACCATGACGTTTGCTTAATAGAGAGTCTTTCTTCTCTTCAGTAAAAGCTTCAACATCAGCTGGATTGCAGAATGCTCTGCATAGAGAGGTATACTTGGACCAATTAGATTTGTTATATACAGTTATCTCTTTGTTCATTTTCATAAATCTTAAACTCTTTCCTCCTTAACTCACAAAAAACATTGTCGCCATAATCACAAGGTGTGCAACAAAGCCTACGACTGTAACGAATTATAGAATGGGTGTGTTTTGACATATTTTAAACTCAAGAGCAACCATTGTATGATAACATAGATACACCTGCCAATCATTCACATAAATGCACTTGGCAAATAGTAATTTAAGCAATGCAGGTACCCCCAGATTTGATGTTAAAGAATGATAATTGTAAGACTAGTTTTGGCTGAAAGTTGTACTTGAACATACTACAAAAGATTACCTCAGATAAACAGTTGTTAGAACAAAGATGGGCTTAAGAAAAGAAACACAGTTGATCCAAAAAATATTCTTCAGCACAACCTAATTAGACTAATCAGTACACCAAGTCCCCACAGTGAACTATTTAATGAAATTCACATATTAAAAAATAACTAATTCATTGAGCTGGATAAAGTGTGATCAGCAGGTGTCAAAATACACCACCTCATCTCCTCGTAAAACTGGCAAGTCATTTTAGGAAGAAAATGATCTAAAATGAACCAATTACATTAGACAGATTGACACATTAAACATCCATCATGAATAGATGCAAAAATATGCATCATGTTGATGTGCCTTCTTATGATGAATATGCACCAGCAATTACTTTTGACCTCTAAAGTTGAACTTGAAGGACTTTCATAGTTCATGTAATTGAGTGATCATAAAGATAAACGAACATCAAGGCGTCTATAACAAATTTGGTGTTGACAATTGAGAATCTATTATTTCAGTTGAGCCACATAAAGTAACCTTAAAGAAAAAAAGCAGCTCCAGGTGTTGCTATTTGTCATGAGATAAAAAGTGCATCATGTCAATTGTCATATTGCACCCTTATCATTATCTAATGAAATTCCTTGGTTCGATAAAACAACTACAGCAATATAAAGATTAGGTGATAGCATACTAGACATGAAAAGATAACAACACACAAAGATGTTAGGTTGTGAATGCCCTGATTGTCTTTCTTCTTATTAAACATGGTCTAGAGTAATTAGTAAATGAAAATCGTTGTTTATACTGTATGTTGAATGACAATGAATGACCATTATATCATCCATAGAGCTGAATGAAAATAAATGACCATTAACTCACTATCAGATAGTAATCGGTCTAGGGGTAGCCTTGACTCCAGCTCCAGAAAGAATAAACAATGATATGTCTAACTTATAATAATATATATGTTAAAAAAGCACCAACTTATCATCTATTTTACTAAAAAGATTTAAAATATCATAATGATATAAATTCAATGATATTTAATCAGATTAAAGTGAAGTGGAAGTTATTCAAATTTCCAACCATATAACCAGTAAAATGCAGATAAAAAGATCCACAACTAAACAATTATCATGTAACTAACAAATATTGAGACCTAAAAAAACTACAATACAACTAAAAAAACTAAGATAAAAAAAAGGTGTTTATCATGTTCAAATAAGAGTTACATTTTAGAAATCTATAACTTCATCAACACATTGGGTAGCTTATATGAATCTAATGTTTGGAAAGGGAAAGCATGAAAAAGTTGGGAGTTAAGTCAACCATCCATGGCCTTCCCAGCTTAGTCCACGACTTATTGCATCAAGTCATCCCCCGCAAAGTCTATTAAGTCAATATCAAAAGCCATGAATGGAGTTGTACAAGGTTCAATTAATACTCATGTTTCTCACCTCAAAAATATCCCAACATGGTTATCCAAAACTTATAGTGATGCTCTCTATCTCACACAAGGCCACTCAAGACAACTTTAAGGGCACATGCTACTGATGAAAGACAATGTGTCTAGCCTCAAGAATCAATATGGTATACCTTAGTTGAATAGATGGTTCCCAATCTCCAGTGGAAACTCGTAGGCTTTCTAATTGAAGTTAAGACAGTTTTTATGGACATTGAAGTTAAAATAATATTGAGGGAGTGAATATGTGCAGGATAAAGTCAAGGAAGAGTTAGCAGATCTGCAGATGAGGTCCCAATTATTATAGTTAGTACAAGAGTTTTATAGATTTTAGTGTAAAATCATAGATAATACAAGTTTCAACACCCCTTCACGAATTTTCTAGATGTACTCCTAAACATGTGTGCATCAAGACGAGGATATATGTATCTGTGTCTATAGCCGTAAACGTATTATAGTTGACCAATATGAATAACAATTGTCGATACATCCTATGGAAGATCTAGTCCCCACAAGTCGGATCTTTTCTTGGATTTCAAATATACCAGAATGGAAATTACATACCACATATACAGGTTAAGATCCTATAAATTTGTATTCCCTTGTGGTTCCTTCAAAAGTCAAAGAAAGTATGAGTAATGGCTGAAACTGGGTTGATTAATTTGGTTGAGAATGTAAAACTAATTACTGCCTAGTATGTACTACAGATTTGATACTGTTAATATGATCATAGTTATTGGATATGCTAAATACTATCAAATTAGTATTACCATGTTTAGTGCAAACATCTCAATGGCACACTAAGAGTGAAGTCAAAAGATCCCAATTTGAAAAAGTCACCATAGTGAAAACATAGTGTCTCTAATAAGCAAACAAAAAAAAAACATTTCAAGCATCAATGAATTCAAACATCAATATATTAGCTAGTACAGCAACTCACTCAAATCAGTCAACATCTGTCCTAAAATTAGCATCTTTTGCCTAAAAAAAGAGATCAGAGAACAAGGCAAATTGTAGCATCATAAAACAATGAATCCCAAAATCTATGACAAAATGGAAAAAACACAAAAGAGCTCAATAATGAGCTGAAGATCTGCTCAACTCTCTAATAAATGGACTATGTGGAACAAACCTAAAAAAGCATTTATGGTGGATAATTATTTTGTGGTCTATTCTTAAGACAATCAAGCATCATCAACATGTCATTTCACATTATTTGTGAGTTGTGACACATGTGTGAAAACCAGTCTGAGCTACTAAAAATGTATTAGATGATCTCACCCACCCCCTAAAGTACCTAAATGATGACTTTGTGGCAATGATACATATTTATAAGAGACAAATCATAACTAAGATAAACATCAACACTATATCTAAAACAGCAAAAGGTACTCACATTTGTTGGGTTCCAAAGAAGAAGACTAGAACTTTCTTCCAATCAGTAGAATACCCCCACTTCTCCGGCTCACTAACCTGCCACCACCATATAGATTTATATAGTAAGCACATGCTCCATACTGCCTATGCTTTCCGTCCATAAAAGCATACAGTGAGCAAATTGTAAGAAAACAGAATTTAAATTTACAGATATTCTTTCTACAAAGCACTGCTATATATTCGGTTACAAAATAGCTGATCTTGATTGTTGATGTACCAAGCATGCAAAGTGATTTTGCTTTGTTACAAACTAATGTTATTAGGTTCTCACAATCAAAACACGTGGTTTGAATGAAAGAGGTACAGAAGAAAACCAGTTACAAACGGGCAACTATCACCCAAACAAAATAAAGAATGGTCAACATAGCAAATATATGAAAGCATATCAATAAAGGCTCAAACTTGGTGTGAATCTTTCAACAACTCAGATCAGTCTAACAAACCCTAAGTTAATATTAGAACAATTGACATCAACTCTACAAGATTTCTAAAATAAAAGAAATCGAAAAACCTACCGTAGCAGGCCAAGCAGGGAACCCTTTCACCTTGGCAAGAACAAGATCGCCGACCTTCCACTGCCGACAAGCAGCGGCGGCTGCGGCGGCTTTACTGGCACCTTTTCTCCGACTCGGCGCCATACAAACACGAGAAAAGAAACCTACTTTCCCAATAAATCAAATAAAAACCATACGATGTTACCAAATCAAGAACAATAAACTAATCGACTAATCTTCCACTGTAACGGCTGCAGAATCGCCCGCCGCTAAGTAAGCGGCTTCGAACTCCCTAGGGTTTTCTAACAACCTAATAACGAAACTGTATACAGGCATTGAACGATCAATCGGCAGGCAAAATAAGGGTTCAACACTGAATTTGTAAACAAGAACCCAACTTTTGAAGGTAAATTGTGATTATCAGAGACGATAAGTGATCAAGAACACGAAAAATCCTGTTTTGATTATCACTGTGTGTCAAAAAAAATGAAACCCTAAAATTCCAAAGGGGGAGAGAGGGGCTTTGTGTGGGGTTCTGTGGAAGAGGGGGATTCACATACGGAAAGAAACAGATATGAATTTGGTTTAAAGAAGGGGGTTACGCTACTATGCGCCAGGAGTGCGTAGGTTTGGGGAATAGAAGAGATGCGTGGCTTTGGCTAACGTGAGCGATATGGGTATGGATACTGGTGCAAGCAGCACGTGGCCTACCGACTCGTCATCGGTCATCCATCATGATGGACTGCTGATAAAGTGCGCAGTCCGCGAATATTGGCGTGGGCTGAAACTATTGTGAGCTTCCTTATGATAATAGGCTTAACTTTAGGGCCTATATTTATGATCTCAAACGGGAAAAAAATGTCCACAAGATCTCTATCAATTTTGGACTTCTGCTTCGCTAAACCACAAAATTTTGTTCATGTTTATTCACAAATCAAAGATCATAGATATGGTAAAAAAAAATGTTATCATATCGATTCTTGTGATGCCATTTTACTTTAATTGATTTAAGTCGTTGAATGTAACGTTATAAATGGTAATTAAAAACATTCATTTTATGTCTCTTTTTTTTCAAATAGTTATTTTTATTATTATTAACATTACATCCTCTCCTAATAAATAAGTACTTTTATTCACACGTGTCATTCTTTAAGGCTCCTCTAGTCGATTTTTTCCGCTCATAATTTCACAAACTGATATACCTATTTTGCCTTTTTACTCATTAAACTACGTGAAATTTAGCCTTGATTTGGTTCTGATTTTCTACAATCCCTTTTTAAATGGAGAATGCATTCTTATCGATTCTACAGCTTCTATATGTTCATTGGTACCCCTCAGTTACAGTCTATCTACCCAGATTTCGCTTTCTTGCTTTTGGAAACCGAATCAATTTTTAAAATTGACAAATCCTTTTATCAAAAAATGTTCTTCTAAAGATGCAAAACCCGTCAAAAGCGAAGTAGTCGACAAAAACAATGACAAAATCGTTTCTCAAAATCCACCTTGCATTGCAAATTGTTTTCTCAAAATCCATGTTAAGTGTTCATCAATCCTCATTCCATGTACATCTATTTAATGAATTTGTTTACTGTGAATATAAAGTAAAAAGCGTGTGTAGCAAATTGAAAACTCCGATCGCTTTAGACATCATCGTTATATAGTTTTCAAGGTATGTATTGCCTTATTATTCAATCTTATTTGTCTATTAAATCACAATACCATTGTAGTTTATTAGTACATAATTGATTCTTTCAATAAGTATTTAGCTTTTGTATGCACGTAAAGTATTCGATGAAATGCACACGCAATTTTTTTATTTTTTATTTTTTTCTTTTTTAAAGTTAAGGGAAGCAGGTATTCCACTCCATAAAGGAATCTATATTCTTGATTGCAATTATGATATCTTGGCTTGATAATATTTGTCATTGGGTTCAATGTGTGTATATCTATGTGTATAGGTGTGTGTGCTTGTGGATGTACGTTTGTGCTTTGGTAACTTTCTTTCTACACATAATTACACAAATTTATATTTATTTCATTTATAATATGACTGATATGTTAGGAATCTCTTATGATAACATCATCCCCATTTGAAACATATGTCAGCATCTAATTGAGTTGAATAAGATATCCGTTATAAGAATTAAATATATAGCAAAAGCTTCATAACTACTAACAAGTTCTTTCATCTACTACTTGTGACACAAACATTTAATACAAATACAATCTTACCAAGTCACAAATCTACCAAAACTTTCAACAGCTTACGTACATATATAGATAGAGGGGGAGCGAGTGTGTATGTATGATGATCAAACAAAACACCCAAAACAAATCTACTACTTAAAAAAACATTTTATGTCAAAGTTAAAGAGAGAGAGAGAGAGAGAGAGAGAGAGAGAGAGAGTTATGATGAGTTAATCAATTCACAACTACCATGTATTGACCTCTGTATTGGCAATTGTAACATCTTGAACACTACTTGACTTATCAGCTTCAGCTCTGTGTTTAGAGTATCTCCCATTTTGTTCATAAATCTCCAAACCCCCCCATGGTGTAGGGGCAATTTGGTTCGTCATGTCAAACCATTTTGGCACAAATTCTTTCCCTTTTGTTTCGCTTATTCTCTTTTCAACCCTCTTTTCTCTTCCAGACTTTCCAACTAAAAACAAAAAAACAAAAAATTAATGTCATATTTTCAACATTTTGGAGGGCATTTACGTCTTTTGCACTTACATGTTTTTTTCTGAACCAACTTTTGACATGTCACCCATCTCAAGGGCATGTCTGTTAGGTCGTAAGCGGGAATCTGATGCTAATAACTTCTTTGGTGATGTATTAAACCTGTTTACTTTATGTGCAAAATGTGTGTATTGAAATTTATCATCTACTGGAGCCTCAGCAACTTTCCAAACCTTCAAAACATTATTATAATTATAATTATTATTATTGAATAAATTACCAGTAAAAATTAACACATATGAATCTAAAATATTGAAACCTACCAATGTGAGTTCAGTGTTTGGGAGAGGTTGCCCTTCAGAATCACAAGGCTGATAACTCATCAATTCATTCCATTTTCCTGTCATTAATATTTTAGGCTCTTCATGTGAATTGTATACATATTCATCCACTTCATAACGTCTAACACTTCACAAACAAAAAAAGATAAAAAAATAAAAAAATAAAAAAAAAAGTAAATTTATATAATGTAAAAATAAAAAAATTAAAGTTTAGTTTGTGTGTTTAAAATTGAAATTTATATAATTTAAAAATAAAAAAAAATCATTATGTTTCTTAAAAATATGATAGCAGTATACCCAAGTTTCTAAATAACATAAGGCGTTACTTGGCGACAATGTAAAGCCTCAAGCTTTTCCGAGCCTTAGCGAGCCACGTCGTTTGTAAGGCGTGACTTAAGGTGGCAATTTTGTATATAATTCATATTTTTATATGTATTTTCAACTATTATTTATTTTTATACACATATACAAGTCAAGGCGGCGTTTTGGTAAAGCTTAGCGGCACATACAAGCCTTGAAGTCATGGCGCGCTATGGCGGAGCCATGACGAGCTTTTTAGAACCTTGAATATACCATGATAGTTTTGTGTCAAAACTCTACTTATTTGTACCCCTAGATGTTTATGTTTATACATGAGGAATAAGAGTACGTTATTGTTCGTTTTGGTTGCAGGCCTCTGCAGGACAAGTAACATGAGTAGTCTGGTACTTCCAAAATGTTCCTTATTAGGACACTTTACTTCGGAAATCTATTCATATAGCACTATACCTTTGATTTTCATCTTATTAGGACATTATACATTGATTGTTAAACATAAAATCTATTCATATGATTATTGAAGACTGTGAAGGCGATGACGAGGACGATGATTCCGAGTGATGTATTTTGGTTTATTTGAAATTAGTATATTAATTATGTTTTCTATGTTGTGGGTTGTTTGATTTTTTGTTTGTGTTTTTTTTTACATTAAAAAGTGATGTAACTTTTGCTTTATGGAGCCATATGGGTATTGTGGAAAGAACAAATCATTATAGACTTCACTCTTTATAACTCTACTTTTATGATTTTAGGTACCAAAGTAAAAGGGATAAAGGTAGAGAGGCCAACTACCAACTTTAAATTTTATAAGCTTATATATGAGTAAATTAACAAGTCAAAATATGATATGATTAATGTTTGACCTACCCTCTTGTTCATACTAAACTTTATGAATAAAAGATATGTAAATATAATTATAAAGCCTATATAGTTTGGTTGTATAAAAAAAAATAATCCGGTTAATATATCTTTTTGTTAAATTATTTAACTTATTCATATATGTTTAATGTGTAACGACGTAAATTTTAAAACCAATTTTTCATTTTTACAAACATCAAAACATCGAGTAATAATTTGGATTCCAATGTAAACAATATTGCCACGACCGATTACATAACAAAGATCACAAAAATAGTTTTCCCCGAGTGTGTGTACGATCACGTCGGCGCCTTCCCACGGTCCTCGCTAGTACCTGAAACACATAACACAACAACTGTAAACATAAATGCTTAGTGAGTTCCCAAAAATACAACTTACGCACATATGCCTTTCCAGGCCCTGACCTTCCGGTCCATGTGTCGCAGGGGACTTCCGTCCTGACTAGGTAAACCTTCCGGTCCTACCCACGTCAACCTTACGATCCACATCACAACGCCTTCCGGCCCATAACATATTAGCCTTCCGGCCCATAACATAATGCCTTCTGGCCCATATCAAGTCTTCATGTTCTTGCATTCAAATCATATTATTAGTATCAAATAATATTCATGAGTATCAAATACTCATCAAATGCTCATAAACATACGATTTCATTATTTTTATCACATTTCACTCAATTCCATCCCAATTATACCATAAACATGATTCCACCATCATTGATGAATTTGATCATTATAATTGTTTTTGTTGCTATCAAATATCACCTAGGTTGGAGAATCCAATCCCATTTCATCATCAACTGTATTATCCCTAATTTGGGTTTTCTATGGTACATGAAGGTTTTCACCCAAATCACCAAAGCCATCGATGGAATGATTGGTTTGAGATTGAAACCATTGAAATCAACTAAGGGAAGTTAGAAACCAAAAACCTAATCAATAATTTTCATCAAAATCGATTTTGGGTTTCACCCACTTCTTAAATTCGAATTTCTAGGATAGAGGAGAAGGGATTCTACTTTCCAAGCCTTTGTTCTTCACTTTCTTTGCTTGAATGCTCACTCCCCCGCTTGAATCACGCCCTATACAATGAAGAAGAGTAAAATCGCAACTAGCTCCTTTTTCTTCCTCTCCAATCGATCCCAATTTTGAAATGAGGGGAGATTGTGTTCTTATTTTTCGATTTTACAACTCATACCCTCAAATTTCGCATTTTTGGAAAAAATGGTCCACTCTTCCAATATGTGTGACTTTTATTTGAGAATGGACATCCTAAGTCTCTCTCCATACATTTTATAATTTTTATAGTACCTTCCATTAATTGAGGCAACCTTTTCGTCAACTCACTTTGCCAATTTGACACTTTTAGCCCCATA